TCCAGTCCTGCTGATATCACAGGCACTGCTCATCACAAGACACCTAAGGGAGCTGTTCTTTGGGATCCATGATGGGGGAAACGGTGTGGCTGAATTTTTCCCAGGTCTGGGCTTAATACTCACGTGCAAGGGTTCGATGAGCTGGAAACTCTTTTCTCAGTTTAGTTTGATGACTCAAGCCCCTTAGCCACTCTTCAGAGGCCTATGACCCAGGGAGCAGCAGAAACACAGGAGGATAACCGGCTTCCAGTGCCTCCTATGCAGCTACCTTGGCAAAGGAAAGTGTAATGCCAGATTCCACTGCCCTTCAGCTCCAAATAAACACATGGACACTATATTAATTATAAAACTGTTGGTCAATAGCTAGGGCTTCTTACTGGCTAGCTCTATCTTCATTATTAACCCGTAACTACTAATCTTTGTATTTCTACTTGACCTTATTTTACCAGAGAACGCCTGGCACGTCCTATCTTCCTTCTCTCTACATGGCATCTCTTCCTGGTGGCCTCCCTGCCTTCTTCTACACAGAATCTCCTCGTCTCATAGCCTCACCTATGCTTCCTGCCTGTCTAGCAGCCAATCAGTGTTTTATTCATCAACCAATATGAGAAACGTATATATACAGAAGGACATCCCCCATCATACCCTGCTCAGCTTCTCACTGCAGCCCCATGTAGTTTAGATGAAGCTAATTGCTAGATGGCTTCGTACAAACTTCTACAAGGGAGAAAAGGAAGTCTGGCCTTTTTGCGTGCTAGCCATGCCTACCTTTAGATGCACAGCTGCTCAGCCAGCCGAGGGTGCATCTGGCAGGGCCATGACAGGCCCTGCTCCCTTGGCACCTCCAATCCCACTGCTCCTCTGGCACCAATAAAGGGAAGCAGTGTTCTGTGAGTGTAGGAAGTATTGTGTTTTCTCCTCTGTCCTCCAGAGATCTTCAGCCTCATTCCGTCAAGAACGGCCAGGCAGCCAGAGATAAAGAGAAGGAAGGGAACAAGGTAAGCTGCAGCCGAATGCCCTGACCCATCTCTGCCTCCCCCGGTGTAGCCTCGCTCAGGATGTGTGTACATAAAGACTAAAGCATTGTGACCGCTCCGTGTGTCCATGGGGTGGGGGTGGGGGGCGGACTTGAATAACCCAGAGGAGATGCTGTCGATTCCCTTTAGCTTCGCAGGGTTAAGACCTAAGTGCCTTGGTCCCTGTAAGGGAGGTAGGGTCGAGCTTGTGGCGTTCAGATTCGGTAGAGAACCTCAGAGCTGGTACCATGTTCCCCAGAGAGCTGGAAGATGGGGATACAGGGCAATGAGGTCCAGCTGCAAAAGAGGGAAGTGCCTTAGTTGGATCTAGACAATTCCCCCAGAACAATGTGTTGAGGGCTTGGTTCCAGTTTGGTGCTATTAGGTGATGATATGTTTATGATGAATAAACCTTCCTGTCCATAAGGCAAGAATTTGGGTATAAAGAACAGGTGACTAACATGAAGCCATTCATACAAGGGTATTGATTTGATCCCCCAGGGAAGAAACTGATGTTCCACATTTGAACTCTTGCCTCTTCCCTTAAACAAAAGCCCTGCTACAATGCACTTTCTCCAGAGAAGGGAAAGACACAGGGGGGCGGGCAGGAGCAGCATCTTTTTCCTGGCTCTCTAAAGGTTGGCCAGAGGAGAGGCAGCTCCTGATGGAGTGTCTCATTGTCTCTTCTGTCACTCCAACCAGGGCAGGCTAGATCCCCGCCCTGCACAGGTCACAGATCTGATTACCATAGCACAGGATAAAGGACTGTATATGAGAGGCCCTGTTCACAGACAGAAACAAAAACAAAAAGTTAGGGGTGAAGGCATGAGAAGAGGCAGAGTTTCTGTGTGGAGGACAAGCTGTAGCAGTTTACAGGGATATTTTAGGGGCTGTTGAGGAGAAATCTATCTGTGAGCAGACACTTCAGTGGCATGGTCCCTGTAGAAAATACAGTAGGAACAGCAAAGTGGCAGGCATGGACAATCAAAACTCAGGAAAAAAGCAAAATGTGTTCAATAGGAAAAATGGGTTATTTACTTACCATAACAACAATTTCGAAATACAATTTTCCATTTCACCTGTGAGTGCTTTTTAATAAACTCTCGTGAATATCTTTTTTAAAAGGTGCTGAGGAGAAATAAGCCACGGGAAAGGTCTCTTTTCTTCTAAACCTTTGATTGTAGCATCCTTCTGACAGCCTGGAACTCTCGCTTAGCAACTGTGGCACCCATGCAGCTCCGTCAGCCCATGGCATGCCACACCTGTGCTGAAACACACAGGTTGTGAGAAGGGTTTAGATGAAGGAGGTTAGTCGGCTCTCTCCTGGTCAGCATTTAACACAGCTGTGATTTTTCTTATCCAGTTTAAGATCTCCCCGACTTCAGGCTCTCTATCGCCATAACTAAAGTCTCCGTGTGGTTGACTGTAAACAGTCTGATAAAGAGCTTTGTCGGGGAATGTAGCTCCTGGCTGCACGACCCAGCTTTACAGCTTGCCTGGCGATTGAACCTGGCACGGTGCTTTCACTAGGGTTGACGGCTTCCTTCTCTGTGGAACAGGGATGAAAGCTCCATCTTCAGTATTCTTGCTTGAGCACAGCGAGGGTGTGTGGAGAATGCACAACACAGAACCCGGCACAAGGTTCCCATCGTTCCCATCAGTTCCCATCAGTTCCCATCAGCTCATGGGCTTCCACTGAGTTCATTGTCTCTGACTGGGTAGAAGTAACAAGCACACTTAACCCAGTGTGTAGAGGTCTAGTCGGCCCATGCTTTCTGCTTCACACGTCCTCTGCTTTCACATACCCCGTACGTTTCCATTGTCCTGTTCGGGGTTACAGATGCAGAGCCCTCTGGTCACATCTATTGCCCTTAAGGAGTGACCTAGGGAGCAGGAAGTATGTCAAGCTGGCGTTTGTAAAGGCATTGGATAGCCACACGTTTTGTAAGCCAAGATTTTCACACAGAGCCCTTCGGTGTATGTACCTCCAAGAACTTTTAAAATAAAGCAAAACAGAACCTTTCTAACCCTGACTCCAGCATTAATGGTGGACTTAGCCAAGTGGGGTCCACCCCCAGCAGTTACAGCTGGAACTGAGAAGTAAACTCAACTGCAGAGAGAAAAGCAGTCCTTACTGTTAATGCCATACTGCACTCATACCATTCTTGTTCAGATTCCTAGCACATGTCAGTCAGTGTTCAGTGTGTGCTCTAATTACTTGGACATGATGTCTCCTGGTATCCTGAGGGAGCTTCAGGGTCCCTAAAGCCATGCCGAGGCCACTGTTCACCAAACGCCTTCATGCACGAGGCAGCTGATGACATCTCCGGGTGCTAAGGGTTCATCAAACCAGGCTGTTCATTGGAAACATTTGGAGTTTTTATCACCTCACTGAGAAGCGCAGGACAAGATTGTCAGAGAAATTGTTCTCGAAGTGTCACCAACTCCAGGGACAGTCTTGTCGGGACAGCTTTGTGAGCCGAGACCTTCTCAGCGGCGTTGCTTCCCTCTGATTGGCTCTTCAGTAGTAGTTTTCACAAGAATCACCACCACAGCATGTACGAGTCGGAGGACCCTGGACTGCTGCGGCATCCTCAGACAGCAGGACAGCAGAGCAGAGCATAACAAACAAACCCCCGCCTGGGGTGTCTAGCTTTCCCACAGCTGGCTCCTGCTCTATGGAAATGCTGGACAATCTGACAGAGTGACTGGCTGTTTCCTGAATTGTTTCTCAGATTCCCGGTGACAAGTGTGGAAATCTGGAGACAGCCTAAAGTAATTAGCTGTTATTGGCAGGTATTAGTCCCCGAAGATAGTTTGTGCTTACAGCAGATTTTTCAAAAGGAACGTGGCACCAGAGAAATTGCTGAGAGATCCTGGGAAATGATGTTTTTCTACGTGTGGTGTCTCCTCTTTCCTCTTCACTAAGACTGGTTCCCGATACAAAGGAAGTGCTCAAGTCACATTTTCTAAGCATGTCAGTGAGTAGTCAACTTGCTGTGTTAGAGAAAAAACCTGTGACTATTTCAGAATACTTAGGGGCCAGAGCTGGCTGGGCCTAACTTTTTAGTTTTGTAAGAACTTCCCTAAAATATAGTCTTTGGTTCTTAAACATTATCACTATGGTATTTTACTATGAAGGTCTAATAACCTGTTTTGTCCCCAGAATCCCCACAAAGTACACTGCCATCCAGATATGCTCTGTGCCACGTACAAAACACACACAAATAAATGTTAAAATAGTTTAATTAGCACTGTGAAGCATTCTGGATATCATTTTACCTTTGTTGTGTTTTTTGTAAAGAATAGACTACAGAACATTTTTCAGTGGAGCACAGCAGCATCTGTATCTAGCATCTGTATGATACACACATCTGTTTCACATACATACATAGATAAATCTCCAGAAAAGATCTTAGTAAAGCCTCAAAGGAGGCTCTGTTGCCAATCAGCCTGGTTGGTGTGGCCCAAGGAATCAGTGTGAAGGGTTCCCGCTGAATTGGGCAGGCTCTCCTGTCACACTGAGACGCCTTAAAGTGCACCAGAGTCTCTTAGAATGCAGATCACATTTCATCAGCTACATCGAGAAGCAGAGACAATCTGACTTCTTGGCATTCTTATCTCCATGCATTCATTCAGCAAACAAAAGGGCTGTATGAAAACAGTGTGTGGCCATTAGTCTTGCGGTGACTTCCTCTACGTAACTGTCTCACTCGCCTTCACATCCTTCTTTCCTATGTCCACCCCAGCCTCAGGACACATGATGTGTCTTTTAAGGAGTTAGAGGAATCTGCCAAACAAAGTCTACAGGTAGGTTTCTTGCACTCGCACTCCTTAAGGCATCCCATGGTCTCTAAGGGCTCTGGAAGTGACCTTAGGACAGAGGGCAGAGCTGGGCACAGGTATTGCTCTCCACACCCTGCAGTTCACTGGTGTATGTTGATATTGGGAGCAGAGGATGAAATGCTGTTTCTTGTCTTTCAGCTGACATTTTACTATGGTAAAACAGACCGCTGGTGTCCAGTAAAGTACTATGAAGACATGAAGAAAGATTTTCCAGAAGGCGATATCCGACTCTGTGAGAAAAGAATAGCACATGCTTTTGTCCTCGGCTTTAACCAGGAGGTGGCTACCATAGTTGCTGACTGGATAAATAATAAGCTGCCCAAAATATAAACGCTGGCTCAGGGGAAACGCACCTACAGCCAGTACATGGGGGTGAATGTCTAATCTTAAAGCTTGAAAAGGAAAGGTGAGATCCTCTTGGCTAACAGACCACCAGCTCCCAGATTCCTGTGCTTACACTAAAGTGAACACAGTCTATGACTCTTTCCACGTCTTCCCTAACTCAGGAAACACAGTCATCTCCCCAATGATTCCTCTGTTTACAAGAAGCCCAACAGCACTGTGCGGTGCAGTTTGCCCAACATGATCCGTACAAGCTGCAGAAATTCTAAATATAGGTGATTCCCATTGAGTTACTGCTTTAGAATTGCTTGTCCTGGATGCAATTATGAAACACATACTAGAAAATGAAAAGCCACCCATGAATGTGAAGTGTGTGTCAGGTGTGTGAAATGTTAAGACAGACAAGCACACCCTCCTCTTCCAGGTCCCAGGAGCAATGAGCAGGGGACACTGGCAGAGAACTTGACTTTCCATTCAGATACTGGGGAAAATCAGTCCAGACTTTGTGCAGATCGTGGCTGAGGTCATCAGCATGTCTTCCTGATCCTCCCACAGTAACTAGGAATCAAGGTTGCCTGACATGTATCAACTAACTACACACAGTTGCTGAAGGATCCTGACTCTGACCTGGCCCCAGATGGCTAGCAGACTCCTCCTGAACCTTAAAATGCCAGTTCCCTGCAGGCTTCCCTAGAGCAAGTAGGGAGGGATGGACTGTCCACATCAGATGTGTAAGGCAGTGGAGTCGCTCATGGGTGTGATTCTTCCAATGGAGCTCCATGGACAGGAAGCAGTGAACCACTAACACCATTCATGATGCCGTTCACTACCCTATGGTCCTTCTGATTTGAAAATCTCCTAGGACATAATTTTTACAAAGGCTATAAATTGTTTAGTAAAACTTTAACATAAACTCATTCCCCACTTGCCTAAACTTTGTTGATTTGGAAGAAATTTATGAGTGAACAGAAGTAATCCATTAAATTTTGCATTTCTTCACCTCTGAAAACATACTCCTGGCTGAGAAGGGGAGGTACTGCTATGCTGCCTGCTCTTAATTGACTCAATCCTAGAATTTCAGACCCAGTATTCCCCATGGTCTGTAGTGACAGTGACCGTTGATGCACAATTGTAAATGTTCCATTTTCTTCAAGAGAAAAGCTCTCATAGAAGTATCATTCCTCATGGTCCTTCCTCTCAAAAACCTAAGATGCTGGTGAAAGCTTTGGTTTGAAGTACCACCAGCTCGGTGGTGAGTGATGGATGAATTCCCATCCTCTGCATGGCTTCTGTATTGGAGCTCTAACTTCTCAGAGGGGAAAAGCCAAACTCCAGACAGTGAGTGTCTTAGTCCATGTAGAAGACCGTTAGCTACACAGTGAGGTTCCATGCTGCACACAAGTCCTCGCTGGCATCTGCACACAGAGGTCTTCTGGAGAACTGACCTGGGAAGCCAGGAGTCATGCTCTGAGCCCCTTGCGTATAGGACAGGTCCAGTCAGTGGTAAGAAATCAATGCATAGGAACAAGTCCTGGTGAGTCAGTGCTACTGGAACAAAATGGCCTTCAGGATTGCCTCAAGAATGATTCTCCGTTACTCTGTTTTCCAGACTTCTTAAAAGACCCAGTGCCTCATTCCTATTCCTCCTCTAAACAACTAATGATATTTATAATAAATGTTTTGCCTGTGGTTACCACTGTGTCTGGTCTGATCTCCGTGTGCTGTGGGTAAGGATACAGTATAAGCAGTACACTATTAAAGGTAAACAGTACTTTGTCACTGCACCTTTGAAGGAGGGAAATTGGGTTTTAGAAGAGTGACTCCTTAAGGATTATAGAGGAGCTGGAAAGAGGGCTCAGTGTTTAAGAGCACCAGCTGCTCTTCCAGAGGACCAGGGACCTACCACCCTCATGTCAGCTCACAACAGTCTGTACCTCCTGTCTCAGTGGATCTGACACCCTCTTCTGGTCTCTCTGGGTACCAGGTATGCACTTTGAGACCATCTTGAACTACTTGGCAAGACCATGTCCCAAACATAGAAGGAGGAAGAGAAGAGCACAGAAGACAAAAATTTATACCTAGTGGATGAGATCTGTTTCCCAGTAGTTGTGCCTGTGTGTTCCAGTTAGCTATGTGATGGTCCCTATGGTCTTCAGTTGGAACCTTGTTCCAGGTCCATGGTGACTCCTTAGCCATGAAAGAAGGTCCAGAGGCAGCTCAAGAGGGCTCATGACTGGACCCTTTCCCTTGGACAGTTTTGATCTTCCCTCATACTTACATTAAAACTGTAACAATTCAGAGCAAAAGAGCATGCAAAATAACATGGCCCCAGACTGTGTATTGAATGTTTTTATTACAAAAAATGATAATTTGGGCAGTGTCTAAAGATGGGAGTGTTAATTTTCAGACATCAATGATATTACTACGGAAACATAGGAGAATGACTGAGAACACACTGACATATTTAAGGAATGAGGTATATCATGCCAGTTCAAACACAAGTGGTGTACGAGAAAATACTTTGCTCTGTATCTATCAGTATTGTGGAGCTTTGAAATAATTTGGGGATGTACAAATTACAGCATTTTCTATGCACCATCTACCTCTCATTATTTCTTCTGTAAACAATAGATTCTTTCTGTATAGTATAGGGAGAACTGAACTTAAATCCCATATCTTTTATTCATAGCATCATGATGCTACGTAAGATTTCATCCCTCGTAAGCCTCCTAACTTCTCACCTGTGAAACAATACAGATGATAGTAGCACATGTCTGTTGGGTTCTATTGTATGTTGTTTTTTGCTTAGGCAGGTGGCAGATGTTTTGTTTGTTATAAAGCAATAAGGTCATGCATGTAGGAGCCAACATCTTGTCTGCCTTAAGGCCAGCCTGCTATAAGAGACACCTAAAGAGAGAATATGGTAAACTCCTTCAGTCTCACCAATGCACTGGAGGTGTCTATGCTGGTTCAGCAGCCTAGGTTGTAAGGATGCTTGTGGTCTCCAGGCTCCTGGACCTGGCTCCAGTGCAGGAGTGAAACGCTGGCCTAACTCAGCTTTCTGGACTTGGACCATGCATCCCCCATACTCACAGCCTAGGATGCTCTTACAAAGGCTTACAAAGGATGCAGGAAACAGTGTTTCTCAGAAAACATGATGCATCACTGTCCCTGCTCTCCCACTGGGCACAAAGGGGAGGATATACTTGGGCTCCTCCACCTGGGCATGGGGCTTAAGGGGAGGTCAAAGGTTAGAGCCAAGCATGCTCTGTGAACAAACACTTCTCCAAGGATGTGAACAAAGCTCTCCTGGTGAGGACAGAAAGACTCCTACGTGTGTCCTTGTGCTTTCTCACAGGTTGTGACTCCTGTCTGGGCCCCACACAGATGGCGGTAAGGGATCACACTGGTCTAGGCAGGGAGCAGCTGTGGACAATTAGTAGGTCTCCACCACCTCCAGACCAAGACTGTTGTCAGTGAACATGATACCTGCTGAAGCTCCAGGTGGCACCCTGGCAGCATGGCAAGGGCCATGGAGAACACGGTGTTGCTATAGTTCTGTGAAGAGGGAGTTTCTAGGGGAGAGTGGGAGGGACTTCCTTTACTCATAAAGAACAGGCCCAATTGGACCAGTCTGGCATAAAGAACAGGTCCAGGTAAGGTATGGCTTGAGCTGTCCCAGTTTCACATACAGGCTTCCCAGTCCTTGGAGGCTCTGACTTACCCAGTGTTCAAATAACCTAGGTGCAAAGTGCCCTGCCTCACTCAAGATTTCATAGCTGCTGGGGCTGGAAAGATGCTCAAGGAATAAGCGCTCAGACCACTCCTAGGCGACATGAGTTCAGTTCTAAGCACCCTTGGGATGCTCACAACCATCTACAACTCCAGATCCAGGGAGATCTGATGCCTCTGGGCTCCATGGGAACCTGCACTCAGATGCACACACACACACACACACACACACACACACACACAAATACATATAATTAAAATAAACTTTAAAAACATTTTTTAGCCAGCAGGTTACAGGAGTTGAGCTGCCACTGCTCTAAAGATAAGGCTTTGTCCCCTTCTTCTTTCTACTACACCATGCTGCCTCCTGGAGGCCACAGAGGGCAGACCCTGCAGGAGTGGAAGGATGGGAAAGGGAATCACATAAAGGGTAGTGAGACCCCCACCCCAGACACACACACACAAACACACACACACACACACACACACACACACACACACGCAAGCAGAAGTAAAAGGAGATGCTTGGTCATGAGTGAGACTTGTAGAACTGAAAGCTGTAACTGCCCAGTTTTCTCAGGATTATTTTGGGAGGAGGAAAGCCCACATGCTGGTGTCTATCAAGGATGCACTCTGCCAAGCCTTCTAGGCACAGGTGCCCTGTTCCTGACACAGTCACTCCTCTGCATGTGTGTTTGCTCTTAATCCCTGAGAATCACCGCTTCCAGTTCCCGTCATGTCTAGGCCCTGAGACTTGTCCCGAAATACCAACTGCTTCTGCCTCCTGGGCACCCATTTAACTCTCCCTTGCCAGCCCCCTGGAGAGCTGCGATGACACTATTGGACCTGTCAGCATCATGACTGCAGGGACAGCAGCTCCTTCCGACCCCTACTGTCATCCCTCCTTGTCCTTTAAAGGAGAGTTCTAGAAGGTGGGCTGGAGTTGGAATCATCTCTGTGCCTGCCAGAGATAGGTCCTGCCACTAGACTTCAGTATGAGCTGGGTTGTCTAAATTAGCTTAAGCTTTTTTTCTATATCTAGCAGGCAACCTCTCACAGAATGCAGGTTCCCAGTGGGTCAGACTATCAGGAAGTCCCATCTGAGGACCTCTGCATCCTCAATTTAGGCATGACAGTGAGAGTATTGGACAGAGACATGTCTGCATTTCCCAATCAGAGTACATTCAAAGACAGATGTGCACTTCCTGACACCAAGGAACTACCAAACAAGGCCACTACCCCTTGTGGCCCATTTCATCTGGTCTGACTACAATGGTTACTTCTCTTCTTCTATAATTATAAAACCTTTGAGGCTTAGGTATTAGCAACTACCAAATACGTGACTTATTAACTACTGAGCTCTAACCCTGCAGAGTACCCCAAGTGGGAATTACAGGAACAATACACAAGACAATGGACAGGCTGAGGAGAGCCTACTCATTTTGTATTACATTCCTCAAACATTCTGATGAAGGGGCTCATGCTGACCTCCCCACGGTGGGGTGGATTTCCTTCCTGGGTATGTCTATGGGAAAATCCCTCCTCTCTGGGATGGGAATGTGACCCCTGACTGGGCGCCCATTACAGCCACAGGGTGTGGGTGCACCTGCATGGTCTCTCTCCCTCACAGAGGGACTAGAATCCCACCTCTGCAAATCCACCCAGCTCAGGCTCTGAGCACATCTGGGCTTCCTGGTACTGGCCATCACTGTGCACCTGCATGTGATTAGGACTCGGCAGACACCCACAGTCCCACTGAAGTCAGCACTGGTGACATATCCCTGAGGAAAAGACTCCCCAGATCTCTGGTCTTTCTGACCAAATGAGTGCGGGTTCCAAGGATATGTGAGCTCCGCACATCTGTGACCACAGCAGTCCCCATCCTCAGTGGAGGAGCAGCAGGACACCTTCACCCCAGCCTGCTCGGAAATGAACAGCACCAAGGGCAACCTGTGCACAGCAGAGCCTGGGAGGGAACAGAAGTCCAGCTTGGCCTCCTCAGAATCAGTCACTGACGAGCCTTTTAGACCTTTCACAACTGTGTGTTGGGGAAGTTGGATACAATTTCAAATCCCCTGACTTTCTCCCCACAAATGCCCCTTCTCTTGTGTATGAGTGAGCCCCTGCACAGCATGCTGGAGTGGGCCATGTGGTCAATGAAAACCAGTGAAATTTTAACCTAGGAATGTAACGAACATGAGAAGACTTTACACCTCTGTGGAAGGATCCTAGAACTTACACATTTATTGCACCTGCCAGAGCATTTAACTGAGAAGACAGATTTTTCATTTAATAATGAAGTTACGAGCACAAAGAGAGACTGGAGATATATCTTTGATAGGGGAGAAACATGACAACAGAGACTTTCATTAGCACGCTGCAGGAACATTGTGTCCAAACTGAGCAGGTGCTGCAATCACTGTCACAAAGGTGGCCACACTGCTGAAGCTTCGTATCCCCAGTGGTCACATTGGTCACATGTACTTTGTGAGAGCCAGGTCCTGTCACAACTGCATCTCTTGTTGATCAGAAACAACAGATGCAGTAGCCTTCTTCCGATGTGGAAGAAGGCGGTGGACCAGCCAGGTGCACACTACATTCTGTCGGGATGGGAGCCAAGGAGGGGCTGTCTGGAGGACCAAGCCAGAATGGTCTGGCAGACTTGCTCTAAGGCTTGATTCTCTGGAATATGCCATTGGTCTCAGAGAAGCCACTCTGTGGTCTTTATCCCTTGACACTTCAGAGGCTAGCCCATGCATTCTGTGGTGACATAGGTCTTCCTCATAGCCTGGAGTTTATCCCATACAATTATATTTTGAACAACTGTCCACTCCTCATGTCCCAGAGAGAAAAAACCTTTTCTCCCTGGACCCAGACCTACTCAGTGACCTTACGTAAGGCATGGCTGTGCATAGTGTCCTCTGCAAGGTGGTCACAAGGACTTAGGGTACAACAGCCCTA